AATTAGATTTTTGTTTCGAATTAATATTTACAGCAGTAATTGTATTTCAATAAACGTATTATTAGAGTGAACAGGTTTGATTTTACGTGACTTATATTAATTTCCTTTTGTATTTAAATATTAAAAGTATTAGAAACGATAATGATAATGATATAGAGTAAACAATTTTAGTATCTAATTTAATAAATTTGAATGATTTTTTCAAACCCGTGTAATATTTGAAATTGATTTGAAATTTGAAAGGTTTGGTGGATGTAGAAGTAGTGTTTGTATTCATTTGGAATATCTGAATATCCGATGAACTCTAATATTAAAATTTTAATCCGTAATCCATCAGTCTTTTAAAAATAAAAAAGCCATCCGTCAATCCGTATATGACCGGATTATTTTACAGATATCTGGATTGGTCATCCACAGATCGCATCACTAGTCCAAAGAGGGGGGGGATCTGACTGCAATAAAATATTCTCTTTACATAATGGATAATAACAACTTCATTTTCATTCATCATCAACAAATCCTTAATGCCAGCTAAAAACAACAACAACACATTAGAGAGCAAGAAAGACAATAACAATCCAGATCACAATTTATCATCATTGTATTATCATATTAATTACTTTGTTCATGAGTATATAGACAATCAATTGTTGATTTTACATGTATATAGTTTTTCTTATAAACATTTGCGAATTTTTTATTCGAATGTCACCGGAATACGAACTTGACCTTAATTCGCTGGATCAATAACCCCGAAAATCCGGAGTAATATTATTATTTATTTGTATTTATTTCTTTTTAGTTATCTATTATTTATTTTTAGTTATTTATTTATCTATTATTTATTTTTAAATTTATTATACAGTGAACCCTCCATAAGTGCACCCTCTATAAATGCATCCCTCCATAAATGCACGCTATGTCTCATTCCCAACCTCGGGAATTAGAGATAAACGTACACCCTCTATATTCTGCACTGCACGGTCTTCCTCCATCCCCGTTCATATAAAACTATATGCCCGTGACTTTCACGTGATTTATTTGCTAAATAAATTCGTGTTGCATTAATTAATTCAAACGTTATTTATATCCATTTACCATCTTTGTTACCTCTTTTTTAATATTAGTAATGGAAAATAAAGGATTAAGTAAGCTAATGTTGCTTAAATGATGTTTGTTAATCCCTTCTTTTTAATTGACAAAGAGTTATTAGAATAATAATGATAAAAACAAATGGAGAAAATTATATATACGCGAAATTAAAAATTAAGGATTAAACAAAGGATAAATATAATTACTATTATTATTACATATTAAATATATTATTGTTGACTAAAAAAATTGTTTCATTGTGGTTTGAATTTTTTTTTCAAATCAATGTATCACTCAATGGCATTAACTTGTCCTAATTGTTCTTTAGAATTTTCTTATTTTATTTTTGGTTACTTTTATTAAACAAATTTAAAAATTATTTTTATTAGTATCACGTGCAACCAATAAAATTCCTCCCCTCTATAAATGCATCCCTCCATAAATGCACACTCTCATCCATTCTCAAGGGTGCACTTTATGGAGAGTTCACTGTATATATAATATAAATTGCCGAGTTTTTATTCTATTAATGCATTATATAGTTCTTTATTAAATCATCGGTCAGTTACTCCGCAAATAGGGATCCAACATCAGGAAATTTTTCTGATGCAGATTTACGTAATTATTACACTATTTACGTAAGTTTACGGCGGGCCCGTAATATTATGCAAATAAGCATACAAAA